CTGCGTCTCCCCCACCAACTCTGCCACCAGGTCCTCCCTCTCTCTCCCACCAGGTCCCCATCTCTCTGCCCCCAGGTCCCCATCTCTCTGCCCCCAGGTCCCCATCTCTCTGCCCCTGGGTCCTCCTCTCTCTGTCCCTGGGCCCCCCCCTCTGTCCCTGGTCTCCCGTCTCTCTGCCCCTGTGTCCCCCTCTCTCTGTCCCTGGGACCCCCTCTGTCTGCCCCTGGTCTCCCGTCTCTCTGCTCCTCATGCTCCCTTTCTGTGCAGGAGATGAGGACACTGAGCAGGCTCTGATAAGAACCACAGCAAGTGTTTGTTACATGGATGAGCGATGTTTGGGTTCTGGACATGGGAGGGCGGATGTGGAAGTGCTGAAAAGTCTCCTGCTGAATGTGGGGGACAGAGGAGTGGGGACATTTTGAGGGGAGAACAGGGGAGTGGGGACATTTTGAGGGGAGAGGGAAAGGAGGAAACAGTGGGAGGCACCGGGGAGTTGGTGGGATCGGGAGGTGGAGGCTGGGGGTAAAAAGACACATCAGTCAGTGATCAGAAGGAGTCTCTGGGGGTCCCTTTCACAGGGCACCGGACCCGAGTATGGGAAAGAGCAGGTCCCCAAGCCCCCCCCAGCACACCCCCCAGTCCCGCCGTGCCCGTTAATGTTGTTAATTGCAGCGGTTCAGTCTGACCCAGGCTGATCCTGGGAGAGGGAAAATGAAGGAATTAGCAAAAATGACAGGGGAAAATTGCGACAATTAGCAGGCAGCATTGTTCCTGCCTGTCACCCGGCTGGTTCCGAGCTGTATCTTGAGGGAGGGGGTCCCCATCACCCCCCCAGCCCCCCAGTAATTGTTCCTGGAGCTCCAGGCGGAGGTGGAGGCAGGGAGGAACAGCCAGGAGGGTGTGGGGTACTCCCAGGAGGAGGAAGCTCAGCCCAGACACTAGGGGGCTGGGGATGCGGGGGCTGCGCGCCCATGGGGGAGGGGCGGGGTTTCGCCGCCTGGTGTTTTGATGGTCGGATAATAACAATAGTAATCACACTATTAATACCAGTCCCGGCTCTGTGCCGCAGCATCTGCTTCTGCCAGGCCCCAGCCAGGCCCTTTCTGTCTGTTAAGTGGACTGAATGTGTGACCAGCCTGGGAAGTCACCGCTCCTGGCAAACCCGCTTGACAGAGGAGGACACTGAGGCACAGAGAGACAGAGAGGCTGGTCCCAGGGCACACAACCAGGGAGGGGAAGTGCTGGGGCCTGACAGGAGACCTGGTCCCTTAGCCCCATAAGAAGCAGACACTTGGCTGGATGCGGTGGCTCACGCCTGTAATCCCAGCACTTTGGGAGGCCGAGGCGGGCGGATCACGAGGTCAGGAGGTCAAGACCATCCTGGCTAACACGGTGAAACCCCGTCTCTACTGAAAATACAAAAAATTAGCCGGGTGTGGTGGTGGGCACCTGTAATCCCAGCTACTCGGGAGGCTGAGGCAGGAGAATGGCATGAACCCGGGAGGCAGAGCTTGCAGTGAGCCGAGATTGCGCCACTGCACTCCAGCCTGGGCGACAGAGTGAGACTCCGTCTCAAAAAAAAAAAAAAAAAAGGAGAGAGAATTCTATGTTAACTTATTGAGAAACCACCAAATTGTTTTCCATGGGGGCTGTACAATTTTACATTCCCACCAGCAATGTACAAGGGTTCCAGTTTCACCACATCCTTACCAATACTTACTTTCTGTGTTTTTTTGTTTTGGTTTGGTTTGGTTTGTTTTTTGAGATGGAGTCTCGCTCTGTCGCCCAGGCTGGTGTGCAGTGGCATAATCTCGACTCACCTCCTGGGTTCCAGGGATTCTTCTGCCTCAGCCTCCTGACTAGCTAGGATTACAGGTGCATGCCACCACGCCCAGATAATTTTTGTATTTTTAGTAGAGGTAAGGTTTCACCATGTTGGCCAGGCTGGTCTCAAACTCTTGACCTTGTAATCTGCCCACCTTGGCCTCCCAAAGTGCTGGGATTACAGGCGTGAGCCACTGCGCCTGGTCACTATTTTGTTGATGCTAGCCATCCTAGCGGGTGTGGAGTGGTGTCTCATTGTGGTTTTGATTTTCATTTTCATAATGACTAATGTTGAGTATCTTTTCATGTGCTTATTGGCCATTTGTATATCATCTTTGGAGAAATATCTATTCAAGTCCTTTGCCCATTTTTAAAAATATATTTTTTGTAGAGATGAGGTCTCACTGTGTTGCCCAGGCTGGTCTCGATCTCTTGGGCTCAAGCAATCCTCCCACTTCAGCCTCCCAAAATGCTGAGATCACAGGTATGAGCCACTATGCCTGGCCCTTTGCCTTTTTTTTTTTTCCGAGACGGAGTCTCACTCTGTCACCCAGGCTGCAGTGCAATGGCCCTAACTCAGCTCATTGCAACCTCCGCCTCCTGGGTTCAAGTGATTTATCCTGCCTCGGCCTCCCGAGTAGGTGGGATTACAGGCACCCGCCATCATGCCCGGCTAATTTTTGTAGCAAATTTTTGGGGTTTCATCATTGCGGTTTCGTAGAGAAATTTTGGGGTTTCATCATATTGGCCAGGCTGGTCTCGAACTCCTGACCTCAGGGGATCCACCCACTTCGGCCTCCCAGAGTGTCGGGATTACAGGCATGAGCCACCGCACCGGGCCCCTTAGCCCATTTTTGAATTGTCTTTTTGTTGTTGAGTTGTAAAGTCTCTATCTCCTTGTATTCCTTTATATCCCTCTGTCTGTCTGTCTCTCAGTCTCCTCTCTGCCTCCTTCTCATCCTTCAGGTCTGAGCTCAAATGTTCCCTCCTTCAACAGCCCTTACCCTATTACTGTCCATTTTGTACCACCTATTTCATTCTCCATAACACTGGCCACAAAAGGTAATTCTGTATTTGTTAGTTTCTTTCTTTTTGTCTTTTTTTTTTTTTTTTTTAAAAGAGATGGAGTTTCACTTTGTTGCCCAGGTTGCAGTGCAGTAGCATGATCTCGACTCACTGCAACCTCCACCTCCCAGGTTCAAGCGATCCTCCCACCTAGGCTCCTGAGTAGCTGGAATTACAGGCCCACGCCACGACATCCAGCTAATTTTTTTGTGTTTTTAGTAGGGACAGGTTTCACCATGTTGGCCAGGCTGGTCTCAAACTCCTGACCTCAAGTGATCTGTCTGCCTCGGCCTCCCAAAGTGCTTGCATTACAGGCATGAGCCACCTCGCCCAGGCTGTTGGTTTCTTTTCTTTCTTTCTTTTTTTTGAGACGGAGTCTAGCACTGTCGTCCAGGCTGGAGTGCAGTGGCGTGATCTCGGCTCAATGCAACCTCTGCCTCCCAGGTTCAAGCAATTCTCCTGCCTCAACCTCCCAAGTAGCTGAGACTACAGGCGCCCACCTCCACACCCGGATAATTTTTTTTATTTTTAGTAGAAACGGGGTTTCACCATATTGGCCAGGCTGGTCTCGAACCCCTGACCTTGTGATCCACCCGCCTCAGCCTCCCAAAGTGCTGGAATTACAGGTGTGAGCCACCTCACCCAGTCTGTTGGTTTCTTATTTATTGATTTTTATGGGATCCCTAAGCAGAGATGTTAGTTTCTTGCTTGCTGTTCAACTGTCCCCGGTCTGAGAGCCCAGTAGGAGTGCGGGGGTTGCTGGGCTGTCCTGGTCGCCATTGCACGCCCAGCAATGCCTAGTGCAGGACCATAGGGAGAGTAGATATTCAGGGAGTTTTTGTGAATGAATGGGTGGACGAATGAATGAGTCCCTCTGTGCACCCCCTGGCCCGTCTGTCTCTTTGAGTCAGTCTGTCACTCACTGTCGCACCCACCTGTGTCCCACGCCCCAGGTCTCTCCCCCATGGGTGCCCCGATACCCCAAGATGTCTACAGGCCTTAGGGGAAGAGAGGGAGGTTTGTAGACTGGCTCCCGGGG